GACAAACTGCAACCGAGGTACGCGCCCTTAGCGGGAACCGAACCCGGGTCTCTCTGAACCTCAGGCCGAGGCTCTAACTGCTGAGCCAAACCGGCCAGGGCTGTTTTCTCTCCTTTTAATCTCTTCAGAAATATTTGCTCCAGGACTGGGGAAGAGAAGATGATGAGAATATTCATATCCTTGGCTACTGGGATTTCAGGAGGGCTGTATCACTTCTTTGAGGATTGTATCTTCATTTTCCCCTACAGCTTCGTGTTCACAACTTTTCAGAGAAACAAGAAGCTCAGTAAAGGGTTGTGTGTGATACTGGGCTGTGAGTCTGACATGAACTCTCAGGCTGTGAACCGTCTTCCTTGGATCAGTGACTCCAGACTGGTTGGCGTCCTCCACCACCACCTCCAAGAGAATGTAGGATTCAAATGTAGGATTGAAATCCAGTTATCACCTCACACATTTTAATCCCTGAGGTCTGTTGCAAACTGGCAGCATGCATACACAGTTGATCAATTCAGAAGATGAGCTTCTTAAACACTGCCACAAAATTTCGGAATATGCCTGGGGGGTGATGAGGTTGCAACCAGGATCTAATCCCTAACAGCCCGGACACCATATGCATTTCTATGTAAGGGGAGCAGAGTGGGTGCCCCAAGGCTCTGAAAGAATGCATGACAGCCTTGTGGCTGAGTGACATTATTTTGGTTATCGGCAAGAATCTTCTCTGTCCTCTTTCAAAATCAGTAAGACATAGGCCATATTGCAGAAGGAATTTTGTAGGAAGAAAAAATTCTCTTCTACACACACATGCACACACGCACCTCTGAGCACACACATAGTTTGGGACAGACCTCGCATCCCTAAAACTAGAAAAATACACAGCCCTGTGGCAAATCTGAATTTGACATAATCTCTTTCCTTTACTTATGTTGAACCTCACTTTTCTCAAAACTTTGTCAAACCAGCCCACTTCTGGTAACAATTCTGATGAAAGTAAATAAAACCTCTAAGACAAAGTCTAGCAGTTGAGAAATTTCCACAAAATTATAAGGTGAATTTTAAAGCAAGATTAATATTCTTTCTAATCCCATATCCTACAGGTTATAAAATCTATTTGTAAGTCACTTTACATATCACCAAACATGTACCATGGTCCTACTGGGGATCTCCAAGGATAGTCTTGGTTCAGCTTTCACAAAGGCAACCCACTCTTTTCATTTTATATTGATGCAAGAGCTCTTTTTCATAAGAATTTCAAAAAAAGTACCATTTCTACATGATTCCTTTTTCTCTAACCATATGAAACACAGATTAAGTTTGGGGGTACCACTCCAAGCCGGGGATAGAAGGCAAAAGTCATTCAGTTACCTAGGAGATGAGGAAAATGTTCAGATTCCCTTTGTTTTCCTACATCATTTTGTTGAAGAAAGTTGGGGAGATTAAAGAGAGAAAATATGCTAATGATACATCAAGCCAATGTTTAAAAGAATGTTCTATTGTCTTCTGAGTGGGTCCGGTCATAGACTTTTATAGGAAAGGTCAACCTCTGAGCACTCTTCAGGCCATTTTTTAATCGATAGATTTTTAAATACTCACCTTCCAGGTGATTAGCATAAACATATAAAAAATTATACAAGCAGAATAGCTCCAAAAATGAATAAAATCAAATTTCATTGGCCAAGTCAAAAAGCAGCCATAGCCCGGTTGGTGTGGCTCAGTGTTTGAGTGTTGATTCATGCACCAAGAGGTCGCCGGTTCGATTCCCAGTCAGGACACATGCCCAGGTTGTGGGCCCAACCCCCACAGGGGGGCATGCAGGAGGCAGCCAGTCAATGTTCTCTCTCATTGATGTTTCTCTCTCTCTCTCTCCCTCTCCCTTCCCCTCTCTCTAAAAGCAATAAAGAAAAGAAAATTAAAAAAGAAAAAAAAAAAAAAACAGCCATACCCGAAACCTGCCCTCCATATGATCCCTGAAGAAATAGCTTGCAGTAGTCTCATCCGAAAGGAAATGATGCAGTGATTCTAACGTCCAGGGTGGGAGCAAAATGTGAGTGATTTGTCCATAAAGGACTAATCACAGACACACTGGGTGGAAACGCCCAAGTCAGGCCTGCATGGCCGTGGGGGCGAAAAAATAACCTGATGGTTAGTCTTTCCTGGTAATAGTCACATGTCAAACTAAGATTTACTTACTCAAGCTCTTTAGGGAATGAAAAGTGTCACTACCTCTTAGTTTTCCCTGAGGGCTAATAAATGGACTCGTGGGAATATTCAGTCTTCGGGCCAGTGGAGGCAACCCCTGCCTGCTTTCAGGGGGGCAAACGCAATAACACCCCCCAAAACTGATTCTAGAACTTTTGGTGGGAAGAGAACTAAGGAGAGAAAAGCAGAGAGAAAATTGACAAACAAATAACATGAAGACTGAGACACTACTTAATGATGATTCAGGATGTTTTAAGTCATTTGTTCTCAATGGATGGTGTGGCTCCCTTGAGGCAGTTTGAAAAATGTGAGGGCTTTGGGGTACCCATGGTGGGGAGGGCCGCGGGCTGTGTAACAGGTGCAACACGGGTGCCACACAAGCCCCATGGGTTAGACCCCTCACAGCAAAGAACTGTCCCCCATCAGCACAACTTTCAATTGCCCCACCAAATAGTCATGTGGATGGAAACCCGGTTTAGAATTACTTGATGCTATAATCTTATTTTATCTACAAACACACAGGGCATTCTTAGCCCAGTTTTAATGTGTGTTCAGTTTTTCAGGAACGCAACCAGAACACTCTATCTGCTAAGGAAGCCTGGACAGCGAAGTGAGTATGAGCAAGGACCAGAACTAGACTGCTCCGAATTCAATGCCAGCTCGGCTGCTGCCCGCTGCATACCCTTGGAGAACTCGTGCATGTGCACTGGGAAGGCCAGTGCCTCCCACCTGATAAAGCGGGAAGGGTGTGAACCGGCACCAGGAAGCGCTCCGAGTGTGCCGCTGTTGTAGACCGCTGCTTCGCCGAGAGCTTCATCAAGAATTGGAATATATTGCTGACATCAATCTGTTCCTGGTGTTGAGCTTCCAACATAGCCTGTACCGGTCTGCGTTTGCAGCTGTCATGTTCCTGGTGACTTTATATGTACACACATGTGCCTTGTTTCGTTATTGCCCTACACCTTGCAACATAATCGTGTTTGAGCATTTACATAGTAAAATAATTATTCCATTATCAAATATGTGTATGTTTATATTTAAGTTAGGACATTAAACTGATGTGTGTGTGTATAGAGGCCAATTATATTGCCTATTCGTTTCATTTTGGAATGGTAAATGGGGTGATGTTTTATGTGCCAAAGTAGGTTTTATCATCCTTGATTTTCATTTAATGTTTGTAGTGATGTTATAAAATATTTATTATAACAAAGGGTGTGTGTTGAATGTGGTCTGGTAGTATTTTTTAAATCACTATTTTAAAGTATCATTCTGCATCCTCATATGTTATCACCTGCCCATCATTAAACCTGGGTTACTATTGAGATCAGCAGTTTCTAGGAAATTAGCATTAAACTATTGCTTATATATCTCCACAGCAGACACATACAAACTTTTTTTTAAGTAGCCATCTATTTCTGAAACACAATTCAGGAGAAAAACCCAGATAAAAATACAAATGAATCTTCAGAGGCTGACCAAAGGCAGAGGACCCAGAAACTCCTGTGTCCCTCTTTTAGGGTGTCAGGGAACAGTCTAAAAAACATTCGCTACAGTAATTTAAGTTGAGCACCACCTACAGGTAAGATCAACTCTGCAAATTTATTCTGAGAAGAGTCCATTGATCACAAGTGGCATTTTCTCCACAGAAAAGGAGCTAATGTCCAGCAAGACCGCCAAGGCTATTTTACTCATCACTGAACCAAGGGACAGCCCTTAGATCCGCCCTCCATCCAGGGAGTGAGAGGAAGTGTTGCTGCCCACTCTCTGGGCACGAAGCCAGCTCACGCTGACTGTAAGTGGGCAAGGCTGGGCTCCCTCTTCCCCACAGCTCCCTGGCCGCCAGGGCCCAGTCACCAGACCGGCCGCCCCCCTGCCCGGCCCTTCCACTGCGCTGCTATGCTCCCGGCGGAGCCCACGTTCTGGCCCCTTCTACCCCTGGTTTGCTGAAAACCCTCCCATCCCCCATGGGACACCCACCTTCTCGCTGCAGGTCCCTCGGAGACTGACAAACAGGCCTGACTGAACTCAATCACTCTAACATGGGAGGGCTGTTCGTTCCCTTCACCTCACCAGAGTCATTTTTTTATTTTCTTATTTTTATCCAGAGAGAGTGGAAGGGAGGAAGAGAGGAGGAAGAGGAGAGAGAGAAACATCAATGTGAGAGACACATCGATTGGTTGCCCCCCGCATGTGCCCTGACGAGGGCTGGGGATGGAACCTGCAACCCAGGTATATGCCCTTGACCGGGATCGAACCCATGACCCTTCAGTCTGCAGGCCGATGCGCTAACCACCGAGCCACACAGGCCAGGGCCAGGGTCATTCTAAAGGAAGATGTTCACTAACTCCAGGGAATCTCCAATTCGCTGAATTTCAGGAAGTTCAGCCAAGGAAACAGTTCAGGAGTATGGGGCGTATTTTTGAGCAGCTCCGTCTACAAATATACCTCAAAAATTCCCCAAATGCGATGTTACTTTACACATGCTTCCTCAATGCCCCCATTTCTAATCCGTAAAATCCCAAATTCTCGGGAGGGTTTATTTTATTCTCTAACAGTCGCATCCATGGTGGCCACAGCCGTGGTCACCTGAAAATCTGAAAACACCTCGAACACTCTTTCGTTGGCTGCGTGGACGGCGCAAAACAGAAAGACTTCAATTCCATGTGACTAGGAGTAAGAAAAATATACAACTATATTTAAAACACTTAAATTAACAAGATAGTACTTTTCCATTCTAACAAAATATCATACATTCAGTTTAAACAAGAGTTAATATCCAGACACACTTTTCCAAAATACCTGAAGCTACTTGAAAATGTGTGACCGTGAGACTTGCCAAGATGTTTCTAATTAGCAAAATGTGTACTATTGAGGCACTGCCTGTCCTTTCCTGGAAGACACCCCCTGAACAGGTCAAAATGCAAACTGGTGTCTCTCATAAACAAGTCCTGCTGTTTCGTGTTTCTTAGTGAGGCTTTGGCTATCAGCAAATCTTACAGCGTCTTCTCCCTCAGAGACAATATCTAACAACGATGCCCTCAGAACCATAAACTTCTCAGTGTGTGAGAAGCCGTATCTCAGTGTTTCTGCATGAAGCCACCGCTGCTGAGATGCTTAGGATCAGGGATGAACCAAGTGTAACCCGTCTACATGTCTGAGAATGGCATGTCCAAGTCAAAGCGGCTACACTTACAAACGTGAGGTGTAGCTTGAAAAGTCAAAACCACGATGTTTCCTCCGCTGGCTGTTCCGGGTGAAGAAGTTGGACCACAAACCAACACACCTGTGTGACAATGGCCACCAATTCTTTCCCGCCCCCCAAACGAATGCTGCCCGGGCCGCTCCTCCGCACTGCGACCTTCTGGCCGAGGCTGCGGTCTGGAGACGGACGCCTGTTCCCACCCAAGGCAGCAAGGAGAGGGGACCCGGCCACCTCTCCTCCTGTCCCCAGCCAGCACCAAGACCCTCTGGTTTGTTCCCACCCACTTCCTTCACCGCTCCAAGAAGGTCGGCCTATGATTTTCAAAAAAAGAAGGAAAATGAACTTGCAAAAGGTGTCTACATAATACTGTGCGTGGAAATCGGCACGGCCGGCCACTGAGGGGGAAGGCACTTGGGAGCAGGAGACCGTGGGGAGTCCCCGGAGGGCAGGGCTCAGTGAGTCAACAGTTTCAGGCGAGTCAGCCAGCTGACCAGCAGGGACGGCTCTGTGGACGAGGACTTGGCCCCGGAGGAGCCAGGTTTCTTTTTGGTCCCTTCCTCCTGGAACGGGATGGTGGCGCTGCTGTGGAGATCCGGACCGAGGTAGCACCGGCTGCCTCGGATGTAGTCCGCGCCGCGGACCAGCTGCCGCTCCACGGTGGGCCTGGAGAACCGGGCCGGGGGCGAGGGCCTTTCCTCGAAGATCGGAGGGATCCGTTCGTTACTGAAGTAGCGGCAAAGGGCGTCCTCACCTGTTTTCACACAAAGACCACACATCCATTAAAATAACCAGCCGCGTTCAAGGCTGTCGAGTGGGCCCAAAGCCTCCTCAAACTTCTGACACCCTCTGACAGTGGGCACCGCACCCTGCTCTCCTCCCAGGGTGGGCTACAGGGCCTCTCTGCCGGCCAGGCCCAGCCCCTGGGTGTGCAGAGAGCAGACATGGACAAGGGCCGTCATACAATTTCACACCTGAGAGGAGACAGGTGGGCAGAGCAGAGTCCGAGAACCTGCCCTTTACCAGTGTAAGAACTTCCATAATTTCACTTGAAACCAAAAAACAAAGAGAAAGCTGTATAGTTCCACCACTCCGCCCCCACCTGTCCTTCTGCAATGCCTGCAGCCTGCTTCCAGACGTGGTTCTTATCCTGGAGCCCCCAAGGAGCACTCAGAAAGGTGGGGTGCCTTGGGGTTCCACCTGAGTGAAGGGAAGGCACTTTTCATCTGTAATGGAGGGGGTCCAAAACCTTCAATGCTCTGCAATCCTTGTTCTTTCTGAACAAGAAAGACTGATCCCATCCCAGATGCCAGTAGACACCTGGGATTGGTAGGGAGTGTTAATGAACTGAACCGGAACCGACAATGCAGGGCACTTTGGCATTCTTTGGACCATAAAATTCCACTGCTAAAAATGTGCAATGATCCATGTACAAGGGTGCCTACTGAAGCATTCTTTACAATTAGGGTTTAGATAAAAACAGAAATAACCTAAATGTCCAACAATGAATCAATAGGTGTGACAGCCATAGGATGGATTACTTATGTAACTATTTAAAAATTTTTTCCAGATTATATTCAGCTTCCAGAGCATTAGTGAACATCTATTTCTTCTATTCTGTACATTTTTTCTAAGTGTAGACTTGTGTATATGAAAACAACTGGAAGATACACAAACCCTTCATAGCAATTATTTCTAGGTTGGGGAAGCAGATTACAGCTGAGTTTTCTTTTCTCGTACCTTTTGGATGTTCTTCAATGTACTCGTTTTGGTTTTGTAATCAAAGGGCGAAAGATACTTTTTTTAAAGGGCCCATTGTCAAAAAGCGACATATTATGTGAGTCGAAAACAGAAGATGTCCAGAAGAAGCAGAGGCAGAGACAGAAAGGAGGTTGGCAGGTGCCAGGGGCTGAGGGAGGACGGAATGAGGAGTGGCTGCTTACAGGCCTGGGTTTCTTTGTGAGATGATAAAATGTTCTCGAATTAGATAGTGGTGATGGACACACAGCTCTACGACTACACTACAAAGCACTCGATTCTACACTTCCACAGGCTGGGCTGTGGTATCTGTGAGTTACATCTCAATAAAGCTGTTGTTTTTCTACTGTGCAGACATCTTTCATTCTAACATCATCATATAAGAAACGTGACAGGACGGGGGGGGGGGTCAAGAATGTTTCCATTTACTGATTCCACACTCCCCACCCTGCCCCTCACCTGCCTCTCTCTGTCTGTACAGGAATAAAAGGCTGTCAGAGCTTAAAGGGCTGAGAATGGCGGCAAAGCTGTTGACATCCCTAAATCTAAATAAAGAACAGCCTGCCACCTGCTGACAGCTCCACAGACTCACACGTCAGCTAGAGGTGTCTTGGACCTTAGACAGGTGCCTTCTCTCTTTTCCACCTTAATCCAGGTGATGTGAGTACTCGGGTGACAAGCTTGACCAAGTCCCGGAGGATGTCAGGGGTTGATGACTTTGAGAGTTGCGCCTCTGAAATGTTTTTCTTCTTCCTTTTACTATCTGAAGCCTGCTGAACTGTAAGCTGTGACCTGCTTTGTTTCACTTCTACCAAAGGAATGTCATAATGTCCTGCCAGCGCGGATACAATCAAATATAACTAGCAAAAAATAAGAGTATTTATAAACATGTCCCTCGAGATTAGTGCAATAACCAGTAACTGATTATAGGGTGAACTAAACACAAATTTCTTTTCCGACAATAATCACTCTCTAATGCAAGAAGGATGGAGAAGGGGGGGAAGGGGGATCCATGTTTGTTCATGGAAAATTAAACAGACTCCAGGAACCATAGTCATAAAATTTAGGATGCGACTACATAATGAATAATTTATGTCTACTTGTTTAGAAACTGGCCCACTGATGTCTACAGCCTTTTTCAAAGCACACACTGCTAATCAGGAGATTTACTATCACTCATAGGATTGCATAATTTTGCCATTCTAGAAAGAAGCAGGAGCTGAGAGGTCTCCGGCATTCCTGGTTTTACAGATGAGAAGTCAGGGCGTGGAAAGGCGAAGTACTCCATCCAGTTACCCTAACACATGTAGGAAGGGGGCTGACACCTGGACCTGGGTTTGTGGCGTCCTTATGTGATGCGATTCGCTTAAGCTTACCTTTCTTCCCAGGACCCCGAGGTCTGGCGAAAGGGTCCACGATGCCCATCCAGCTGCCATCCGCAGGCATAGACAAAGGCCGGGGCTTGCCTGGGGGGAGGGAGAGTCAGGAAGGAGACAGTGGGTGACTTTTGGGCTCGGAGAATCCTTCCCTTTATTTGTAACATAGACCACCACCCCCGCAATATCACACTCCCTAAGCAGAAGCAAGAACATATTTTAAAATAGGGGAATTCTCGGGAAGCATCGGTTTCCACAGCCAGCAGCAGGGCAGGGTGCTGAACTGGAGTCTGGGGGTGCGCGGGGCGGAGCAGCCCCAGGCTGAAGGCCCAGGCCGGAGAGTTAAAGCTGGAACATGATCTCACCCGCGGGCTGACGCCAGGAGGAGCAACCGCTCAACAAGGCTTCGCTTCTTTAGAGGGATGAATAAAGGTCTCATACTTAGAATTTCATTGAGGTTTATGTTTTCCTCAGATTACCCGCAGGGTCTGCCAAATTCACCCAACAGTTCCAAATAAGGACGGGGGTGGGGAGGAGAAGGGCACCCAGAGGAACAAAACAAACACTCGGAAACGTACCGTACGAGGGTGTTTTCTGCCTCATTTTTGTGGGCAGAATGCTGGTTTCGACCGAGTACCCAGGTAGCTGATCGGAGTCAGCGATAGTGAACCTCCGCCTTCTACTCTCCTGGTCCAAGAAGGAGTTCGGGGACTCGGAACGCTTGGGACCTGGCGCTGGCCGTTTGCACTTGCTGGGTCCTCCGTGCAGAAAACTCCAGTTCTCATCCCTGGAAGACAGTGAGCAATCATGCAGCTGCTCCCCAGGCCCCCCAGGCTGAAGACCTGCAGGCGTCGGGGATGTAAAATGTCAACCACCTTGTCCACAGGGGGGAAAGCATGACTTTTTCAATCCCACTTGTTCCTCAAATACAGAGATCCTATTAAGTGAGGGTAAATACCATGGCCCTACTACTTAAATAAGGGAAAGTTTTTTTCATATGCGTTCAAACCTACCTTTGAAAAGATGGTTCTAGTTTCCCTGCACTTCTGTCCTGTCACTGAATCACCAATTTACTACAGGAAGCTCAAATGCAGGTGTGATCTGCTTTATTTTATTTTTTAATATTTTTTCTTTATTGATTTTTAGAGAGAGGGGAAAGGAGAGAAAGAGAAATAGAAACATCGATGAGAGAGAACATAGATTGGCTGCCTCCTGCATGCCCTACACTGGGGATTGGGCCCACAACCTGGGCATGTGCCCTGACTGGGAATCGAACCAGTGACCTCTTGGTATATGGGTCAACACCCAACCACTGAGCCATGCCGGCCGGGCCAGGTGTGATCTGTTGAACCACCTTTCTCATGCCCAGGGTAGCATCTTTGCCAAGACCCAGAAAGAAAGACACTTGATGTGTAAGGGAACTGTTAGATTTGAAAATTATGTCAAAAAACACAAAGGGGCCTTTAGAGTCCCCTAAGAAGAATGTTTATTTTCTAAACGAAGTATAGAAACTGGCAAAAGTTGGATCTTTGGCAATGTACTTCTTTCTAAACGTCAACTTATACTAAAAGTTAAAATTGATTTTAACGAGTCTAAGTTACCAGCGGGTTACGTTTTCTGCATTTGGTAAATTCCATTAGGTGATCCCTGTAAAAACTAGTAGACAAAATCCGGAGTCCACTGGATCCAGAACAATCCGGAGACCAGCCCAGCCTGTGTGCCGTTCCCAGTGCGTTCCCCCTGAATCTCTCTCTTTCTACATCTTCAGCCTGGAATGTCACTTCCCCATTCTCACAGCTTTCAGGACTCACCACTGCTTCTCTGTAAACATCTGCATCTATAATTCCTCAGAAAATATCCTTCATTTGGGGAGGCGGGTGTCTGTGCGTGTGTATGTGTGCACATGTGTGCCTAAGTGCCTCCCCAAGTAGATTAAAAGCCCCACTTCCTCTTCCTGCTCACTATATACATTAGCCTCTTTCCTACCGCTGCTCTGTGATCCCTCCTCCCTACAATTTCTGATAGAACAGCCCACACACTGATCATCACTGAAACGCTTGGGCTCTGCATGTGAACTACCTGTTGCTTTAAACATCCCTGCGATCCCATGGACGCACGACGATGGGCTGTGACTACCAACCAGAAAGCCCCAGATCACCTACGGCGACTGCTCTACATGCTGTGATAAGTTCTGGGCAAACCAAGACTCGAAGAAGAGGAACATGACATTAGCTCTTCTTTGTGCCAGGAAGAAATACAATAGAAGCAAATAGTTCAGCTTACAACAAAACAAATGAATACTCCAATGTAAAATAAAACATTACTCTAAGTTCAGCACAAACTTTGTCTTAGGAAATATTATAACATAATGGCATATTTCTCAATTTATTCTTGGATAGCTGACTGAGACATTGGCAGTTCTCTGGGGCAAGAACTACATCTCTTTCTTGTAAGATGGTAACCCAGGCCTAACACTAAGTAAATGTACATTGAACGAATGAGCCAGATTCTCTAGTTTTACCAACATATGTAAATACGTAAGTTGATATAAATAAACCTATATTTCAGACCTAAATCATCCCCTATATAACACTGAATATGACCACTGTCATTATACCATATAACATTTAAGATATCCATTATAAAGCAATGATCTTTTTTTTTTTTTTATCCTCACCCGAGGATATTTTTCCATTTTTTGTACAGATAGAGTGGGAGGGAGAGAAAGGAAGGGGGAGAGAGAGAGAGAAACATCGACGTGAAGGGACACATCGAGTGGCTGCCACCTGCACGACCAACCAGGGCCGGGGACAAACTGCAACCGAGGTACGTGCCCTTAGCGGGAACCGAACCCGGGTCTCTCTGGACCACAGGCCGACGCTCTAACCGCTGAGCCAAACTGGCCAGGGCAAGCGATGATCTTTAAGAATTTAAAATACACACATATACATAAACACACACGCATGTGCAAATATAGTTCGTCCACACCTACATTCACATTTTTTTTAAGTGCTAGGAAGAACACATCTCTCCCAGCAAAATAAAGCTGTAACTTTAGTTAATGTCCCAGAAATATTTATTATCTTCCTCTCCAGAGATGAATTTACCATGTCGTTCATGAAATTTCAGCTGCAGAGAGCTCCCCAAAGTCCAGGGAGGAGCCAAACGGTGTGTTCCCAAGAGCATGTATTCATGAAGAGCCCCATCCTTACCAAATTCTAGGGCTACAAGACCCATGGAATCTGCATCTATCCCTACACTTCCCCCCAAAGAATCACAGTTTTCTCCCCAGTTTTATTAAAACATAACTGACATAATATTGTATTAGTTTAAGGTGTGGAACATAATGATTTCAGAAGATGATGGTGATAGTTGATAGATAGATAGATAGACAGACAGACAGACAGACAGAAACGGTCACCACAGTAAGTTTAACATCCATTACCTCACATAGGTACAAATTCTTTTTTCCTTGTGATGAGAATTTTGAAGACCTACTCTCTCAATAACTTGCACATATAAGATACAATATTGTAAATTATAGTCACCATCTTGTACATTATATCCTCAGAACCTTATCTTTTTTTTTAATCCTCATCCAAGGATATGTTTTTATCGATTTTAGAGAGAGAGGAGGGGGAGAGAGGGAGAAACATCCATGTGAGAGAGAAACACTGGTCGGTTGCCTCCCGTATGCACCCAGCTGGGGATAGAACCCGCAAGCTAAGCATGTGCCCTGGCCAGAAACTGAACCGGCCACCATTTGGCATATGGGAGGATGCTCCAACCAAGCCACCCAGCCAGGGCAGGATTTATCTATCTTATAACTGGAAGTTTGCCCCTCTGACCACTTTCACCCATCCCCCCATCTCAGTCCCTCCCCCACCCCCAGGATCACACTCTTGAACAGCAGTTTAAGACCCAGCCCTGTCACACTGGACTTCAGCAGCGTTTCCTCGCGAGATCCCTGTGATCACACCACCACTTCGCGCCTCCACGAGCAGGAGACACGCAGGCCACGAAAGTGGACAGTGACGTACCGGGGAGAGTAGGGAATGGCTGGCGGAGGAGGAATATAAAGGTCCAGGATGGCTGGCTTTTCCTTCTTCAGCGAGGTATCCATGGTGCTTTCAGGGGACTGGGATGTGGTGGGCGGAGGCGAGGTCTGAAACAGAGCAAGTGCCCAAGGGAGGAGGTTACCCCGGAGCCCAGCTCAGGGCCGGCTCCCCCCGAAGGCAGCGCCAGGCCTGCGTCCACAGGCGGCAGGCAGGCCACGCGCAGCTTGCATTTTCCTTTGAGACGCTCAGAATTAATGGGGACATCTGAAAGGCCATCCACGCAGTGAGAAACAAGCTCAGAAACCAGGTGCCGGGCTCTAGCTCTGGCAGCCACGGGCACACCCACCCTCCGCTTCCTCCTGTGAAGCAGCCTGGGAGCCCCCCTGCACGGGTGGAGCGAGGGCTCCAGGGGTAAGTGCGCACGACCTCGACCTCAGCTGCCCTACCATCCACCAGGATGTGGGCTCAGGACTCATCCTGGCTATTCCGTCGTCCCCCCTTATCTGTGGGGACACGTTCCGAGACCCCTGTGGGTGTCTGAAACCTCGGATAGTACCGAACCCTATATATACTGTTTTTTTCCTATACACACATACCTATGATAAAGTTTAATTTACAAATTAGGCACAGTAATAGATTAATAACAATAAGTAATAATAAAATAGAACACATAATCGACACAGCTTCGTTTTAATCACACTACTGGTATCAAAGACCTATTTGCAATAAATGTTATGTGAATGTGGTCTCTCTCCCTTCCCTACCCTCTCAAAATATCCGACAGCCAATCTGATCCTTCGTGACTGAAGGGCAGGCAGCACACAGTGTGGACACGATGCACTAAGGGATGGTTCATGCCTGAGGTGGGACGCAGCCGGATGGTGAGAAACTTCACCACAATATTTAGAAGTGTGAATAATTTAACATGGATAAATTGTTTGCTTCTGGAGTTTTCCATTTAATATTTTTGGACCATAGTTGACCACAGGTAGCTGAAACCGCGGGTCACTAAAACCATGGAGAGTGAAACCGCGGATAATGGAGGACACTGTGTATCTCTCTGGGAAAAGTCACTGAACTTCTCTATAACACAGAAATGAATGGCGACAAGAACAGAACCAACAGGGCAGCTATGAGAATTAAGGGATAGAATACTCAGAATATGCTCAGTACTCTGCTTGTCACACAGTAAGTGCACAGTCTCATGCTGTTTAATTCAGCATCCCATACACACACACACACACACACACACACATTAATTTTAAAAATATAAAATCCACACAGCTTCCTTTTAATCACACTACTGGTATCAAAGACCTGTTTTTTAAAATCTCATGTGAGACCTTCACTGTTACCTCTTCTACAGACTAACAACAACGGCCATCTCTTTTGGTTGGTAAAGGGACAGAAGGAAATCTCAGGGTCAAGGCACGAAGACGTCCGGGGAAGGCCAGTGGGAGGCGCCCCAGGAAACTGCGCTAGGCCCTGGGCAGACATAAAAGGGCACCGCAAACCCCACCTGGCCCGGACGGTGATGGAAGAGCCCAGGTGTCCCCACACTGAGAAGGTGAACCAGACTAAGGGCTGGAAGGACTGGAACAGCCAGTGCTCAGAGTGACCACCCTCTTTCAGGGGACACAGGAAAACAGGCTCAGTCTTGAGTCTCCTGTAGGTAATCACCACATCCTGGATGTTGGCCGTGGACACATCAGCTGTGGGCTCTACTCAATGTGTCACGGATTGACATCTCAATCTGCTGATCTTAGACGAGGTCTGAAATGCAGGGCCAGGACCCAGGTCCCCAGCAAGGGAAAGAGAAGTCAACTGGAGCGCTTCCTCAGGACAGCATCTCCGAAAGCCACAGTGCGAGGCTGCCTTCCGAGCAGGAGCCCTCGTTTACCAGGGCCGTGCTCGAAGACGACGACCACGACACAGGGCCACACCATGACGCTGACAGAATCGAAGAACCTCCCTCCCAGGAAAGGTGGGCACCAGGCACACAGAGCCCTGGAGGACACAGAGCGACCCAGGGCTCAGGTTCTGTAGCTATCCCCACCCATGGCGAGAACACGTGGTACCTAAGTGTAAAACGGCCTCTGCCTTTCGATGGCGCTTCTCTCCCTGGGGCAAAAGCAAAATCGGGTGTCTCACCCCTCACCATCACCTCTTCCCCCAAGCTCCACAGGTAGTGGAACTTGGCATGAAGGTAACAAAACCAGGGAAAAGGGAGGAGGTGCACCCTTCTTAAGTGGATCTCCAGAGGTCGAGGGACCGACTCCGGCCTACACTTAGACCTAATTCTCACCTAGCTTCCGAACACAGCCACTTGAAGTTTCCTCTATCGCTTCAGACTCTGTGATGCTCAAAAAACCTATCCTCTCTGCTTCCCCGACGGCTCCTTCCTCACAGCCTAACTTCTGTCACTGGCCTGTCCCCCTGTTCACGGTCGCATTTCACACCTGCCCTGCTGATCTCCTCACCCCTCACCCCGAAGCCTTTGCAGCAGTCAACACTAACAATGCGAAGCCTTTGCAGCAGTCAACACTAACAATGTGAAGCCTTTGCAACAGTCGACACTAACAATGCGAAACCTTTGCAACAGTCGACACTAACAATGCGAAGCCTTTGCAACAGTCTAACAATGCAAAGCCTTTGCAACAGTCGACACTAACAATGCGAAGCCTTTGCAACAGTCGACACTAACAATGTGAAACCTTTGCAACAGTCAACACTAACAATGAGAAGCCTTTGCAGCAGTCAACACTAACAATGAGAAGCCTTTGCAACAGTCAACACTAACAATGAGAAGCCTTTGCAGCAGTCAACACTAACAATGAGAAGCCTTTGCAGCAGTCAACACTAACAATGAGAAGCCTTTGCAGCAGTCGACACTGACAATGAGAAGCCTTTGCAGCAGTCGACACTAACAATGAGAAGCCTTTGCAACAGTCAACACTAACAATGAGAAGCCTTTGCAGCAGTCGACACTAACAATGTGAAGCCTTTGCAACAGTCAACACTAACAATGTGAAGCCTTTGCAACAGTCAACACTAACAATGCGTGGGGAGTGAGCGTTAGGAGGAGTAAGCACCTTGCCTAAGGTCCCACAGCTAACAAGTGACAGAGCTGGTATTCAAACTCGAGGGGTTCAGATCTGGAGCCCCAATCCCAACCACTAGGCTGTGCTGCTGCGTGTCTTCTTCCAAAGAGCTTCTTGCTTCAGTCTGTCACTGGAATCGCCATCGGCTGCCTTTCCTGGAACCACATTACTAATCATCGGGAAACACGACCGCTCCCACCTGGTGCTTCCCCTGTCAAACTGTCACGGGCTGAACTTTGCGCCCTCAAAATCCATAGGTTGAAGTCCTAACCCCCAACACCACAGAATGTAGCTCTATTTGCAGACAGGGTCTTTAAGACATAATTAAGTTAAAATGAGCTCATTAAGCTTGGTGCTTAATCCAGCATGACTGGTGTAGCTGTAAGAAGACGCAGAGACACGTGTGCACGGCCATGTGAAGACACAGGGAGAGGGAGGCCGTCTGTAAGTCAAGGAGACAGGCCTCGGTGCAGCCAACCCTGCCAACACTTTGATCCTGGACTTCCGGTCTGCCGAACTGGAGAGGATCGGGTTTGCTTTCGTCACCCAGCCGGTGGCCCTTCGTCATGGCAGCCCCAGCAAACGAAGGCAGGTACTGCTGTAACAAACAACTGCCAACCTGTTACCTGTGGGGTGAAGTCCGCGCTCCTGCCCTGGCAGTCTGTCCTTCTCGGCCCACCAGCCCAGCTTTCTCTCCTACTCTCTGCTGGGGGCGGTGGGGAGGGGAATGCCTCATCTACACATTCCTGCAGTAGGGCTATGGTGCCCGTATACCCATGGCCCCTCTGCCAGCCAGCGGACCCAGCTGCCCTGAGTAGGTTGCTAAAAGCTCACAGTTGTCCCCTTCACTGGAGAATAACCCGCAGCTGACAGCTCCTCTGTGGTTACACCTGCAGAACGGGCCAAGGCTACACAGTACTGAGATACCACCTGCTGGCTTCCTGCTCCTTATCTGTCTCCCTTCCTCCCTTCCACGTTTTCCCTGCAGCACACATCCTCCGAAAACAGCTTCACAAGGATCTGTCACAGATTCTGCTTCTAGGAAACCTTGCCTAAGACACCACCCTGCCCCAATGGCATTTGTGGGTGTGTGTCTCAAGAATGGCATTCATCTCCTCTGGGACAAGCCCTCCCGTCTGCCAAATCCCACCTAGCATTCCAGGCTCCAAAGTGTTCCCACCTCGACAGGAAGGGCGTCTTCTCCCACCCAGCCCACCCCCGTCTCCCCTTCTTCAGAGCCCAAGATTTGTTCTGTGCCCCAAGAAGCTGGCAGGCACCCCATCAACTCCCAGTGATGAAGGAAGACCTCTGAGCTGTCAAGTAACACATTCCGAGAATTCCCCCCAAATTTAAAGATGTTACACCTTGCGCTGAGCAATGCACACACAGTGGCTGGGCTGTGACTGAGATGTTCATTTATAATTTAAAAAGAGATTTTAATGACGTGCCCCTCCTTGCTTCACCCTCCACGTCCTGTCATTTAACCCCCTTCCACACACACACAAGGAACACGGGTAGATCCATTTCCTGCGCTCAGTGCATCGTGAGGTATCCAAATGAATGGCTGAGATGGCTACCGTTCTCTTCCACTTGAAGATTTGCAAAATATCAGTTACATATAAACTGCAATCCAATTTTATCAAAGGGCATTCAAATGCTATTGCTTTTCATTCATGGTTTAGGAAACCAATGCTAAGGATTGATGACGTAATGAGGAGGTTGGTCAGTGGGCACAGTCCATTCAGCTGTAGGATAAATGAGTGTGCTATTTGCAGAGAATTTAAATAACAAAACTCACCAGAAGTCAGTCTGCTTTTTGTTACCACCAACACTGGCAATTCTAAACAACGTCTAAACAACGGAATGATACTGGCCACACCATGTGGACCGTTTGCACTGTCCCCACCCCTGACTCCACTGCACATGGTCTCTCAGGTAAGTGCGCAGACTGGACCCAGTATCTCAGTGTGCACTGGGCACGAGGGGAGGACGAGAATGAACGTGTGCAGTGTGGCAGCCACAGGTGCAACTGAGGAACTGAACTTGTCACTGTATTTAAACAGTCGCATGGGGCGGGTGGCTCCCATACTGCCCGGTGCGAGTCGAGAATGTCCCTTTTCACATAAGCAGGGCTCTGGGAGAATTCCGCATACACAAATTCCTGAAAGCAATCTCCTCTCCATGTTAACCGGGCGAGACAACAGACATCTAGCGCTGTGGGTGCCCTGAGAGCAGGCGGAGGCTCGTAACACACAGGACAGCGACCAGATACCTGCACGAGAGGCGGCTTCCAGCGCAGGTTTTTCAGGGGCGCAGGGGTGAAGTTGAAAGAACCCGTGGGGCGCTTCTTGAGCAGTAACACGACACCTGTGGGATTCTCTCTCAACTTCTTCACCAGGTTTTTTAGCTGCCATCCCACCTTCAAAGAAAGAAAATGAGGAGAGGGGACTCCTTCATGAATGAGGAAAAGAAAGCAAACCTGTGAATGTGTCTCAAGGACATCAGCTGTGAGCGAAGATACAAACAGGCCACTACAATGGCCACATCTTCGCACCACTCACAATGATGGAAAACTGGATATAAATCGCGAATGTTAACAATTCAGGCAAAATGGCTTTGGATTTAGTTAAACTTGCTAGAGGGAAATATTACGTCTTGAGGCTCAGGGGGAAACTCACCACAGTTTGGCGGTTAACCTGAATGACTTCATCGCCAGCGTGGATCTTCTGAGACCTGTCTGCAGGAGACTGTCAGAAACAGAGAGACCCATCTTATTTTTCTGAACTTTCTGCTTTTATTCCTTCTTCCCTCTTTCTTCTGTAGACAACGAGCAATGGAAACAGAATTTTCTCAAGAAATGTTACACGGTGTACGTGAGTTCCCTGAGACCACATTGTCTGTAGTGAATACCTGTGTTATCTGTTTTATTAGTCGATTCTTAGAACAGATAATCTGTTGGTTACAGCAGCCAGGGTCATGGCACCTATCGAGAGTGCGACACAGTATCGGCATAATGAGCTGATAAAAGCCATCGGTTCATCCAAAAAACACCTTACCTTGACTCTTACCAAAACTGATCTTGTGGAACCTGAGCCCCCTTTCCCATGTGAGGACCATCACTGACACTCACCTCCACCTCCTCTCAAGCAATTATTAAAGCCAAATCTTATTTTTACTCAACTTTGTTTTACATGTTATCACAATGGTATTAAAATAGATGGCAAAAAGAGAAAAATTTTTAGAGACAATAAATTTTTTTTTTCTTTTTTTTTCTTTTTTTTTATCCTCACCCGAAGACATTCTTCCATTTTTTGCTCAGACAGAGTGGGAGGAAGAGAGAGAGAAAGAGAGGGAGAAAAACATCGATGTGAAAGGGACACATCGAGTGGCCTCCACCCGCACGACCAACTAGGGCTGGGAACAAACTACAACTAAGGTACGTGCCCTTAGCGGGAACCGAACCCGGGTCTCTCTGTACCGCAGGCCAACACTCCACTCACTACTGAGCCAAATCAGCCAGGGCTTTTTTTTCATTTTCAGGTTGAATCAAGAACACACACATTTCCAGTATCAAAAACAAGCAAACAAACAAAAAAAACTTCCAGACTTTGTTTTCCCAAGAATACTTGACTACAAATTTGAAAATATCAATATATTCACATATGTGTGTGTATAGAGATTTATCGACGTAACTTACTTGTCAAATATTTTGGCCCTAGTATTCTTGCTCATTTAATCGAATTAAAATTGTTTATAATTAAGATATCTTATATGAGCAAAAGAGAAGGAAAAGATAAATCTTTGATTTCCAATGATAATCAAATGGTATCTAGGCCATAGTATTTTATTTGGTAACTCATGTAACTGGCTGAATCTCAAACAGTTTGCAACTATCCTTTTAAAAAAAAAAAAAAGTAGCCTTTGAAGATGAGGAGGTGAGTCTCAATTAACTCAAGACACCCTTACTGAATTTTCTCACTCAACTGTTGTGATAGGCTTGACTAGAAAGGAGCAAAAGCTCCTGTGATCATTATTTTTAGAAACATTTAACACGTTGCCATAACAACCAGTGATGCCTCACCTTGAGAAACCAGCCCTAGGGGTACCGGAGGGAGACGGCCTAACTCCAATTTCTCTCTTGAGGCACGTAAAAATAAATGCACCTACCGACGCCCCTTTCTGCCCCTGTGTGTCAGATGCTTCACACACAGTTACAGACCAACTTTTCCAGTTCAGCTTCCTGGACTAAGCATTCATTGAGGGTAAGCTACACATCATAAAAGATGGCCCTGAGGCCAGGAAGTCGCTGTTTACAAGGTGTGCAATCTTCAAAATTGAGCCCCAATGTCCTGAGTTGACTTCCCTTCCTAAGGATCCTCATGCATTCATTTCTCAAATGTCCTACCAAGTGATTAAGAGTTGTGCTTGGCAGAACACTGGTAAAGAGAGAGCTTGATACCAAAATTCCCCCTAGGGCAGTAGCTCGTGCCTATCTTCACCATGAGCCGGGCTGCTGAAAAATGATGCTTGCTCTGGTTTGCAGCAGAAGGGTGATGACCTGAAGAAGAATGTATCCATTCTTCAGAAGCTAATCTAACTCCCACCTCATCTCAGGGGGGGGGCAATGGGGGAGGCAGGAATATGGATCCTGTCAAGGTCTTGCACAACATCAAAAAAGAACCCGATAGAGAATCACTAGATACTGTTTAGCCCGACCTTGGAATGATGGTGGCTCCTCAGATCACCTCCACACCGAAGAACAAGGACTGGAGGGCTGAGATGGCCTCCGGCATTGCTTCAGCCTGGGCTCCAAGAGAGACACCTCCCACCTGGAGACAACTGGTGATGCAGTGGGTGATTCCGTCCACTACCGCCCACCCACTAGGCTTTCATTCAGACTTCCACTCTGGAGTCCTAGCGACCTTAAGTGACAGCGGGGAAGCTGTCCTGTGGCTGGCATTTTCATCCAGCATGAAGTGTAAAATATCCAGGTGAAGCCCGTAGAAAGTCTACCCTTTCCTAACTTCCCACCCTCACCTACAAGACTTGGTGAATGTTCAGTACATTCCAGGTACTCGGCGAATACAACTGAATGCCTGAAAGAATGAGAGACGTTCTCAAATGGATCGCCAAGTAGAATCAGTTTTCATTTTTTGATCTTTAACTGGATGGGAACCACTCCTCTCTGGGATGACTGACGTCCCCTCTTTTGCTAGGATCAACGACATCCAGGTACACCTGGGTCACTCACCCCATCTTATGAGTCTGGCAGGAATTCTAGACAATGTAACGTTACATTTGACATTTCATCTGATTCTGAAACAGCTTGTTTAGTCTCTCATTCAACTCTCATGCTTAAAACAAAATCGGGAATGCATTTTGAAGATGAAAAATCTCTGTACTTTCTGATAACATTATAGTGTTCTACACATTTATCCAAGATTGAAATTGCTTCAAGAAGACCAGAGAGTATTTGGAACCACACAGGTCTGGTTGTTGATGCAACTCATCAAATTGCTAACTTCAACTCTAAAAACCAAAATAACATTCACCATCTTTCTGAATCCATCCAACTTTAAAACAATGCACTGAGTAGTACATGAGCATATACTTATCATGGTTCAGCTGAAATACAAAAAGTCTCACATAAGGATAAAGGAGGACCTGTGTGATGCACTATGCATTTTTTTTTTTTTTGCACCCTCCCCAGCCTCAAAGCAGAACTTCCTGTGCTGTTATTGTCTATCAGGTGAGGTGGTATAAAAATTCCTAGCGATGCCCTGGCAGGGTAGCTCATTTGGTTACAGTGTCATCCCAATACACCAAGGTTGCAGGTTTGATCCCTGGTTGAAGCACATATAAGAATCAACTAATGAATGCATAAATAAGTGGAATAACAAATCGATGTCTCTCTCTCTCTCTTTCTCTCTCTCTCTCTTTCTCTCTCTCTCTCCCCTCCCTCTCTTTCTCTCTCAAAAAAAAAAAAAAATTCTAGTGGTTCTCAGTGTGTTTTCAATGTAGCTCAACAAAGAATGCTCAAAGACACTACCATTTTCTGCTCATTCGTCATTCGTCTGCCGGGACCACACTATTTATAATTCATTGACTGCCTCAAGCAATGTCATTTTTTTTTTCTTACTACAAAAATCGTGTGTGTCACAAACCCTAACCACATATCAAGCCATTTTATGTTATCAAAAGATCTAGCAGCTGAAGCTCAAAATTCAACAAATATTTCCACCAAACAGATTGGAAAGTAGGTGCCAAATTTCTTCCATTTTAAGAAATTATTTCCTCTTGTCCTAGTTGATTAAACAGTAAGATTATTTCCACAGACACATGCTTCATTTACACAGATCTTGGAAGCCAGTCAAACGTTCCAAGCTTCATACCAATGTCATTTAAAAGCTAGCTATATTATAGGTTGCAAAAAGAAAGCATTCACTTAGCTCTGCTTTTCACAAGTTCAAAATGTTTAAGGGGCTATAGAAATGGCATTCAAGTAGCAGAATTTCCAAAAGAAAGATAACAGTGTACAAAGTCTATCGCAGTAGAGACAGCCTTGCTCTGTCTATTCAAAGGATTGGTGGGGGAGGGGTGATCCCTAAATTTCAGTATCAGGCCAAATATTATGAAATACAACTCTATAAAAAGAATCTATGTCATGCAAAAAACCCAAAGTAGTTGCTTTGGTGACACATGTAAATGCCACTGAACAAAAAAAAACAAAAACAAAAAAAAAACACCCCATTTTCCACATATGCTTACCAGTTCCAGTCTTATAAGAGTGATTTCTCAACAGCAAAGAGATCACTGTTTTTGTGTTTATGCATTAACACTTCTAGGGTGCAAAAGGAATAATTAACACAAGGGTGGGGGTAAAAACTGGGCAAGGAGCGTAAACAAGGACAATAAAGGACAATTTAAATAATAAATTGACAACAGCTGGTGATAAGCAGCGTGCTAGCCACAGAAGTAAGCAAAACAGGCGCCCACGCTCCCCCGGCAGATAACACAGCCTGCACACATTTACATGAAGAGTACGGGGACTCTGTGTCCAATTTGTTTAAACGTCCAACGGCTTTTACATTTCACGGGCAGGCACTTACGTTCTCGGTGGTCCCAGTGATCACGTGCAATCCATCATAGGTCGATTTGATGTACATGCCCTAGAGTGAGTCACAATACATCAACCCATTACTCCAGCGGTCAGAAATACAGCCGCAAGTGCGACTTGAACTTATTGAACATTAAAGGTAATCCCTGCAGAAAATATCCTTCTTCAGCCTCCTGAAACATTGTGAAACAAGATCCCACGAGAGGTGAAGGGCAACCAAACAAACCGAAGGACTGGTGAAAGAAATCAAAAGCGACATCTATTTGATGCTGTCATTTGGGACCAGGCTCACGGAATTTTGCTTTAACTCTGGGGACTCGGAAGGAATCTTCTCAGCCCCGCAGAATGAATGAGGCCTTTGAAGCAAGGACTGCTCTCTCCTGACCATCTCTTTGTCTAGTGACACAATATATTCAGTTAAATTTGGTTTCAGCAGTCATTGCAGGGTGACTTACTCAAGCCACTACCAACCCAGACCAGGGTGTATGGACAAAGCTGGTTAAATAACACAACACAGGAAGCAAATTATGAGCAGACCCCCTTCCGTTTTAAGGGAAGCATAAGATAAATACACTCCTCCCTAAAAGGCCCGATAGGCAGACTCAGAGGTGAATCTGTCACATCATCCAGAACACATTTCTGCAGTGTGGTACATCATGTATAAAAAAAATTTTTATTAAACTTTTATACGATGGGGAAAGAGAGCAAAAAGTAGATTGGGCAAAGAGTAGTTGCTCACCCTGGTATCAATATCACAATAACATAGACTCTCCCAAGAAATCATGTTGCCCCTGAACTTGCCCTATTCAGCCACCTACACCCCACTACTGATATAATACCTTCAAGGTTCTCCCCGTTCCTCGCCTCTCTGGTTGCTTTTATTCTCAGTGATCAGCTTCTCCCTACATGTGGTACTCCTCTGCCCAGAGCATTTGCTTATATAACTTTACCATCTGAAATGGCAACTCCATTTCTGCCCACTCGGGCCATTTCTCTGCTTCAGTATGTAACTCTAAAGTCATCCCCTAGCCCAGCTGGCGTGGCTCAGTGGTTGAGCATTGTGGTGAACCATGCACCAAGAGGTTGCTGGTTCGATTCCTGCTCAGGGCACATGCCCAGGTTGTGGGCCCGATCCCCAGTGAGGGGCATGCAGGAGGCAGCCAATCGATGTTCTCTCTTATTGATGTTTCTATCTCTCTCTCCCTCTCCCTTCCTCTCTCTCTCTCTCTCTCTCTCTCTCTCTCTCTCTCTCTCGTATCAATAAAGGAAAAAAGGTCCAGTCTACTATAATCCATCATTTACCCTTAAGCCAAGGAGTCTCGTATAAATATTTCTACCTACTGAGCATGAGGCTGGTCAGTTTGGTTTGCTCTTTGGTTTTCTTTGGCTTTCTACCTGAGAGCAGAGACTGCCTTGATTTCTCCCACAGCTGCTTCCTCCTCATCATCCTCAACAGTGGCTACAGTCACTGAAGCCACCAATTACTGCACGGGTACTGCGTGCCCAGCACCTGGCGGTCAGTACCCCTCATCTAAATACTTTCAACAACCCTGCGGAGGCCGTTTTTATTATTCACTTTGACAGATGGGGAAACTGACATGTAAAGAAATTAGGCCACTTGAGGGATGGAATTAAACCCTGACTCAAAGCCTGTAGGTTCATCAATAGGCCTCATAGTTTCTTCACTTAAATTCCAGCAAATTAATCTCATGGGCTGCACGCTGGGACTGCGAGATCTAGGAGTCTAGGTGCTGATCTAGTGTCTAGGCAGCTACCTGTGTGTGTTCTCAGGCCTGTTGTTCTAGAGCTACAGTACATTACTGCTGAAACATTTCTGAGGGATTTTTAAGAATCATTTCTTCCAAGCAACCTCTTCTCCCCTCCATCCTAGTAACAGAGACTTTCAGGACGCATGCTATTTGGTATCCAGAAGCCATTTTTAATTTGTGTAAATGTTTTCTATTTCCTTGCATTGCTAAATCCTAAAATAAAACTGTTCAGACAGTTCCTTCAAGATAGGAGCACACAGTTTTAAAACTGCATTTGTTTTATACTTTGAAGATATAAAACCTATCAAACAGTTCAAGACGGCAAATTGCAAATGACATGATGGAAGACAGGCTAATTCTATTCAGGATGACAGCGAAAGCAATGAGGAATTATGAAAAGAGCTTTAATAAATGAGGGTGTGTTTTTGTTTTGTTTTGTTTTGTTTTGTTTTGTTAAATAAAATGGGTGCTGTTGGAATTCTTACCAGGCCTTCCCCAGGTTTAACGTTCGGTAAGTGGACTTCCTCCAGGCATGCACACTGGCTCATGACAGGATCCGTGGTAGATCGGATTGTTTTGTCACAGATGCCATTTAAAACCTTGACCTAGAGTGGGAAAGGCAAAAGTCAGGAAAGGTTCAATCATTAACCAAGTTTATCTCGAGCTGAGTTCTAAAGGAATGCACTTCACCCATGATCTTTAGCTCTGGTCAGCAATGATTCCGATAGTACTACTACAGAGCAATTTAACTCCGTATTTGCCACCTGCAGGAACGGTGCCGTGGCTTCGGCTTTGCTGGAGAAGTGTGGCTTTATATTGCTACGGCCACTGAGGAGCACAGGCCGGGCGGGAACCCCCTCCTGGCAGTTAAGAATCATCGGTGACCAAACACCTGCATGTTTTTAGTGATCATTCATATTCTCTGCATACCAAATATGGACAAGGTTAAACATTTGCCTTCCATGCACCTGTTTCATTTTAATAAAATTTGTTTTTTAAAGCAGTTTTAGATTTACAGAGACGTTGAGCAGAAAGTGCAGAGTTCCTATATACCTTCTTCCCTACCCAGTTTCCATTAGCTGTATTATTATAACATAGTTAATAATAACAAGATAGTATTAACATCTTGCATTAGTGTTACATTTGTTACAGTTGATTAAGCAGTAGTGAGAGAGTATTGTTAACTAAAGTCCATAGTTGAGATCAGGGTTCTCTTTCATGCTGTCCAGTTCTATGGGGATGGATAACTGCATAATGTCATGTATCCACCATTACAATATCATGCAGATATCATGCCAACCTTTTAATTGTGTCGTTTGTTTTCTTATTGTTGAGTTTTAAGGGTTCTTTGTATATTTTGGATATAAACTCTTTATCTGATATGTGTTTTTAAAATAGTTTTTCCCGGTCTGGGACTTATCTTTTCCTTCTCTTAATCCTGCATGTCATGGAGCAGAGTTTTAAATTTTAATGACGTCCACCTTATCCATTTTTCTTTCACGGTGCATGCTTCTGGTATCTAAAAACTCATCGCCAAACGTAGGGTCACCTGGAATTTCTCCTGTTTTTTTTTTTTCCCTACGAGTTATATAGTTTTGTGTTTTAAATTCAGCACCACAATCTTTTTGATGATGGTGATGCTCACATTCTTTGAATGCCAAACGCTGACAAAGTAAAATTGTAGAGACAACATGAAGATCCCTATTATATGGTCTCTGTGTAGAAATCACAGTGCTTACATGTGGTTATTTCCCCCAATCAGATTCATCTAATCTTTCAAAACTAAACAACCAAAAAAATCAGGAAATTCCAAAGAGTGATTTCTTTCCAAGGAGGAGAATCCACAAGTGACCCTCTTTAAATTCCTCCAATTTGTTTAGCCTCCCTATTTATGGAAAACATATTTATAGCAGTTTCATTGCTAAATTCCTCAACATCAGTAGGAGGAGGCCTTATCAAAGGAGCACAGGCTGGCTTCTGTCAAAAGGAGGAAGCGGTGATGAATACTCAGAAAATGCTATGAAACAGTCACAGTACATTCTCCTCCATCATAACGTTTTTGCCAATAATTTTTTTTAATCAAAATGGTCCTAAAGCCAAATTACAGATCCATCTAGCCCTAATTAACAGGCTAGCTATCAATTTGAGTATAACTGCACACTGATGAAATGTTCATGGGGGGGGGAGCAAAAGTGAGCCCAATGTATCCAAGTTCAGCACAGAAAGCTTCACAGTAGTTGGTCATGTTGTTAAATAACTTTTATTCCCTTTCCATCTGAATGAATAGACCCATATCTCAAAAGCCAATATTTCAAAGTATATCCTGAAAGAATTGACCACAGTGCATCTACTTTAGTTAAGGTAATCCTTGGGAAAAGGAGTTTTACCAGCACTTTGAGAACGTATACTTACTACGGCCAGAACTTTATCCTCCATTTCTGCTACAAGACAATCCTAAGAAGGGAAGAAGAAAAATGAAACTTTAAGAACTAGAAACTTTCAAAAATGGTTGGCTTAAGCTGTTAAGATATTTCCTGGAGCCAAGGTGGTCCCTGACATGTGCCCCACCCTGAAGCCCAAGCAGCACCGGACAGACAGTCAGATGGAGGAGAGACGTGGACGGAGAGAGAGGAGAGTGGGAATGGAGCGTTCATTCCACTCTTCCAGGGCTCTGCTCAGTCCTCACCCAAGGAGCACATCTGCCCAGGGACCCACCTGCAGGGCTCATTAACCTGAAAACCTACCCAAATCATTGAGCTGAAATCCACCTGCTGTCCAGACTGTGCAGAGAGTAGTAAGCCAGAGGTCAAAGTCCACAGAACCTGCCCAAGCTCCCAAATGTGACCCTGGGCTCAGCTGGCCCCGGGCCAACAAACCAGGCGTCTTTAGCTCTGGGCCTGCCTAGGAGAATAGCTTTCAAATGAGGGCTCCGCCACAAACGTTTATTTTAGGCACCGCTGAGATTAAATCAGATATTTCTGTCCTTAATAGATGAAAAAGGTTCAACAAAACATTCATTTAACACAGTGCCAAAAATGTGGTCGTGAGGTATGCTATTAATGACACTAAATAAAGGGCTGGAAGCAAAGCTCTATTTCCTCAGCTTCAGAACAAAAGACTTGAAACTGTATGAACCGGTTAGCTGATTGCAGGCCTCGCCATTGTCCTGTCCAGAAGCCGCCAACGTGGAACAGCCGGTGGGAAAGTCTCCCAGCTTCTGGGAGCTGCCTGCAGCGGGCTCCCGTCTAGGGCCCGTGCAGAGCCAAAGGGAGACCAGCGACAGTCTTCAAGTTCACTCGGCACCATTTCCCATAACCCCACCCTGGGACATTGTGGGGGAAATGCTACTTGTTTTATATACGTGAAGGATATTAATCAACGCCATTGGAATCGTCAGAGTTTCCCTTCGATCAAAGTCGTTTCGGGATGGGAAGAGCTACCGATTGTCTTCTTAAAAGTTTTCCAAATTTTCTCTACCTGGCGCAGTGTGAGAAACAATCACCGTTTCTCACAGCTCCTAAGACTTACACCGACTCTCAGGAAAAGAGCAGAAGAGCCGCCGAGTGAGGAAAGGTTTATACAAAGAAATTCAGAAATATATTTTTACATGCTCGAGTCTGCTATAAATTCAAACTACGGGAGCAGCCTCTGTAAAACGCGAGTCATTAGAGCTCAACAATGTGCTTTTCCTCCTCCAATCATGACACAAAACTAGCCCCCACCCTCTTAACACCCATCTCCGTTAGCCACATCTGAAGGACAGAAGTATCAAACAAGTGTCAACTTCAGAAGAACAGAACACTGTGTGGTCTTCTGCTAGCAATGAACTGATACTTTGTACATATGATCCTCCAGAGCAAATCCCAGGATGATCAGGCACCATCACCACTGTGCGAAAATCACCCACAGGCAGAGAGCGCCTCTCCGCACACCAGGGCCCAACATACAAGGTGGACGTGTGACCTCTTGCTTCCTGCTATTTGATTCTTTGACCGATCCAAGAAGCCACCAAGAAAATGGCTTTCTCACTGTGATGATAACGGTTCAAGTCAGCATGTGAAAGGGCTCGCTTTGCACCTTCCACGTAGTGAATGTGGTCCCCACACCCTTTCCCACTGGGAGGAAGCAGCTGCAGGCGTGACTTCATGCTGTCTGGCATGAAGGCCACGCCATGGAAAAAGGCATACTGGAACCAAGTCACCTCCTCGTGAGCCAGACAATGGGGCTGAGCTTTGTCACATCCCTGGGTCACCTGGCCCAGCAGACTCAGGCCAGCCTACCTGGCAGAGACCCAGCCTAGGCAGCCATCTCGTGCCCCCTCCCTCCACGCTCTTCCTTATCCTGCCTTCTACTACCTGAGGAGCCTCGGGCAGGCCGTTTAACCTCCCCGGGCCTCTGCTTCCTTCTCTAAATCAGGGGTGATCGATCCACCCTAGAGAACTACTGAGAGCTGTGCGCGATAACACGTGTCAAGCACGCGGTACGCAACTGATTCCCAACCAGCGCTCCATAAATGTCCCTGGCTTTCTCCTCGTCTGCTTTCGGGGCTACCTTGGTTTCCATTCTGTTTTCTTGGGCGTTACATTTCTCATTTCTTTCCACACAGGAAGTCAGCACCTGCCACTGCCGTTTCGCCATTTCGTCTCTGGCCACCGTGGTTCCAGTTTTCATGTCATCGCAACTTTGGGAGGACAGACTGACGGCTTCCCTCCCTACTGAGATAAACTCAATTTTTCTCCCAAACTGCCCACTGAGCTTATATATTCCTTTGTGTATAGTTTTTTTGGATATGTATATATATTCCAGATACATATATACATACATTTCTAAAATGCTGGGTCACTATTTGTCTTCCTATTACACTTTTCCCCTTTTTTCTTTCTCAACAATACCTTGTAAAAATCCCATCAAATCATCTGGTAAGGCAAATATTAGCATTGCCATTTTACGGATGGAAAAAATGGAAGCTCGTGAGTTTTCAGTGACTTGTCCAAGGTCCCAGAGCTAATTAATGGTAAAGGCAGGATTTGAACCTATCTTTCTCTGAAGCATATACTCAGTGAATACCAGCAAACCACAAACAAACAAAAACAATACCACTTATATCCTTTAAATTTGGGTTAAATTTCTCCTAAAAGACAAGTGCTCATCAGCTTATTTGTCCAAAGTATTGCCTAATCCATTTAAACATACATTTTTAAATCATCATTAATCACCTGCCAGGCGTCATGAGCAGAGGCAAACGTGAGGAGGAGGCTTAGTGGGTGCCCTTCTCCGGACGTGACCAGATCCAAAGCTCAGCCTCCCAGGGGAGATCTTTATACGATCATTCATATTATATAAGGAAGGCAATTCACATCATATCATCTAAGGCTATAAGGAAAACACCACCGGAGACAATGCAGTAAGCCCAGTGCGTCCAGACAAGCTCAGTCACTGGTTGAAGGACCCAAACGTCACCTTTGCATTCTGGGCTACTCTAGCCACACATTTAAAACTGGATTCCATGCTCAGCACTTCCTGTACCTTTCCTCCTCAGAACTTCTCTAACTTGATATAGATTTTGCTTGTTTATCTTTTCTTTTTCTCTTTCCCCCAGAGACTATAAGAGATCTGGGACAATTTTATCTGTTTATTCACTGATACCCCCCTGCCTAGAAGAGCAGTAGGCGCATAGTACGTATTAAATAAATATTTACGGAAGGAACAGTCCAAATACCTACAAAGCCAACACCAACCTGCTCAGGCAAAACAGATTCATCTTCTGAAAACAAATACCACTCCAGCCTTCGACTTCATCACTTTCTCCCCCTCTCCCTACCCTACAGCAAGGGCAGCCTGAACCAGTCACACAGTTTGGGACCCTTTAAATAAAATACAAAGGCACCTGTGAACCCCAAGAAAGAAGTTAACTACTAAAAATGGCTCCTAGTGGCTAATTGGGCTCAAATTTTATTTTTTTTCTCCCTTTATTGATTTTAAAGAGAGAGGAAGTGAGAGGGAGAGAGAGAGGACCATCGATGAGAGAGAACATCAACTGGCCACCTCCTGCAGGCCCCCCACTGGGGATCAGGCCCACAACCTGGGCCTGTGAACTGACCGGGAATTGAACCAGTGACCTCTTGGTCTACGGGTTGATGCTCAACCGCTAAGCCACACCGGCCAGACATGGGCTCAAATTAAACACACACACACACACACACACACACACACACACAAAACAGCCAAGCAACTGTTTCTATACGGGGGCCTCTCGTGCAAACGGCACTTCAGGGAGAAGCGGCACTGAACTGCCTGCCTGCACAGCCTCTGCCCCCTGAGCCAACCCTCATAAAGGACTTCCTGGAATCTTATTTCAACCAATAGGAATGAGGCTTTCCCCGTCCATCGGAGGTGCACAGATCAGATCAAACCTACCAGAGCAGCTGTATTCTGACCAATCAGGATAGTGTCTTTTGAACCAATGAAACTACAAGGATTTGGAGTTCTCATTTGCATAAAGACAGACCAATCAGAGACCAGAGGCAGGGACTTCTGTTTTTATAAGCCAGCTCCCCTCTGGCTCTGGAGAGCACGCTTTCCCTTTCCAAGGAACTCTGAAGACTGTTTCCCTGGCTGAGCTGAAACACCAGAGATGTCTTGCTCAAGCAGAGGGGTGCAGACCACCCAGGCCAGAGCAGAATGGCACGGAATGGAGTAGGCCCGAGCAGAGCAGAGCACTGCTGTCTAGCCAGAGAGGGCCCCGGCCCCTGGACTGCCTCACAGCCATACTGTATCACAGTTGAACCATTTTTCACTGAACAGTTTCCTTCTTTGCCACATCCCAAATTGGGGATTCCTGTTGGTACTGAATTGGTGCCAACAACTATCAACCACCCACTGACACACCCATGAGCAAAACTTTCCCATTATAATTACAGTGTTTGACTCTTACACTATCATTTTAACTGATCACAAGTAAATTCGTTTTGTTGTTGTTATTGTTACTCTTAACCTGAGGATACTTTTCCATTGATTTTTAGATAGAGTGGGAGGGAGGAAGGGGAAGAGAGAGAGAGAGAAATATCGATGTGAGAGAGACACATCCACTGGCATCTCCCAACATACCACTACTGGGGCTGGGGATCGAACCTGCAACCCAGGTATATGCCCTTGACTGGGAATCACACCCATGACCCTTCAGTCCACAGGCTGACACTCTAACCACTGAGAAAAACCACCTAGGGCACAAGTAAATTTTTTTTTAATCCTCACCTAAGGACAGTTTTCCATTTTTTTTTGTTGTTGTTCAGATAGAGTTGGGAGGGAGGGAGGGAGGGGGAGAGAGAGAAACATCGACGTGAAAGGGACACACTGAGTGGCTGCCACCCACACAATCCAACCAGGGTCGGGGACAAACTGCAACCAAGGTACGTGCCTTTAGTGGGAACCAAACCCGGGTCTCTCTGAACCGCAGGCAGACGCTCTAACTGCTGAGCCAAACTGGCCAGGGCACAAGTAATTTTTTTTAAAAAATCAAAATAGGATGTAGAATATAGTGGGTAAAGGAAGCAGAGAAGAAAAGGAAACTCAAGGTGTCAGTGAAATAAGTGTCTTCCACCACTTATGCCAGGTCTCAGTGGCTGGGTGATTAATGTATCACAAGTGGCATCAGACTGTTTTTGCCAAAATTACTTTACACATAAAAAAAGAGCAGAAACTCAAAGCCATGTTAGTTGTTCTGAGCTCCTTTCTAAGAACACGGCCTCAGAAGCATGTGATGAAGTCACGTGTGTCTTCAGTTCAGTGGCTGCTCCGGGTTGGACCTCAAACAGCCAAACTCCACTATTCATGTTTGAGGAACAAAGGAAAGCACATGGCTTTTCAGAGCTGCACCTGTGACATGGCACAGACAGGACCGAGGAAAAGGTGTGCCTCACTTTGTGCCAAATCAGCAGTGGGAACAAACATGGAATCGAGATTTTAGAAAAAAATGGAATGTAAGAAAAGAATAACCTCTTTCTTACGTGTGATATTCTCAATTCAATCCAAAAATATTTTATAGTGTCTGCTAGGTGCCAGGGAATATGACAAGAAGTAACCCTAAGAGCTGATGGTCTAATAAGAAATTCTTGGGAAGTTGAAGTCACAGAAACTAGTTAAGTTACGGATTAGCTGATATAAATCCTCCTGGCCTTAGGATGGGCCAATGAGCTGTGAGCGAAATTGACACGTGTCAATTCCGAACCAGAACATTTGTCAATGTGAAATCCTCCAGGGTTCTTTGTGCCTCTGCCAGGGGACAAGGAACATGAGATACCAGTCGCTCTGCCAGCCTCCATCCTGAAGTGAGAAGAATTAGAACAGCTCCCCCGGCTGACCCATTTGGATGTAGATAATCAAGAAATAAACTGCTGAGGTTGGGGGTTATTTGTTACTGTACCCATAACCTAGCTCATCCTGACTGGTAAACCCAACCACCAGAGGTCAAAATGAAAAGAAGACTAAGAACAAAGATCACAGTGAAAGTCAGTTATTCTAGAATTTCTATTTTTAAAAAATTAAATGCCCTAACATTTTCGAGAAAGTACAGGGCGATTAGCTCAACTATTTTGAAATAAGAGAAAGTAATTTTTGAGGTAAAGGCCACTGGTTATTTTTTCAGAAACCTTCTACACAATGTCTCTAGTTTAAAGCTTCATCTCTCCCCAATTCTAATGGAGGGGAAGAGTGGGGGGAGAGAAAGCATGATACTTCATACCTGCATGTAAACCCCTTTGAAGATGAAGAAAAGGGGGAAAGGGAGGAAAAACCAGTTAGGAGGCAACAGTGATGTACTGACCTTCTGGACTATAGTGGTCAAGTCCAAGCAAAGCTGAATGATTTTGTTCTTCGTGACTGAGATATCGGTGATCCCTGTAAATGGGGCCCTGGAAAGCAACAAAAATTCTCTTTTAAAAAGTGTGGGAGTGGAAGGGAACCCACCAGGATCCCACACTGTGCTGACAAGCAAAGTTCCTCAACAGGCTTAAATGGTTGGTTATGCTGGGGTAACACACAAAACAGGAATCTGAATAGAAAATAGAGAAGTGCTAGATTTAAAAACCACATTAAAACATGAGCCAAGAGAATTAACATCCCTTCAGAAGCCAACTAGCAGCCTTCACACACCCAAATAATCATTCATGTTTAACCATGTAAAACACAGCCGGAGGACGGTTTCACTCTCCTCTGAGCCGAGGTTACTGTGTTTCTGCCAGTCACTATTCAGTAACTTCCAAGAAGGATCTGGAAATCCACCACTGATCCAGAACTCCTGGAGAGGTCCAGTGGAAGGGACAAGGAAGGGATAAGGAAGGGAAAACGGTCCATTTTCCTAAGACGGAGTATAGGCCTCTGTGCCCCTCGGGCCCTCCTGTAACTCACCGGTCCAGCCAAGATAACAAGGCCTTGGCAGCACCTATGAGCTCCACCACAGAAGTCAAGAATTCATTGGGGGGCTTGTGGGATGTGTTCCCATCATAAGCTGGACTTTTCCGCCGGCTACTTATATAATTCTGTAAGTTGTGAGAAGACGCTCGCAATTTCAGAACCAAGTTCTTCATATTGTCAGTTTCAAGGCCATAATTCTGTGGAAAATAAAATCAAATGAAAAAAAATTCAAAACAATTAACAATGTCCAAATTCTCATAATAACTCCAAAGCCCACTGAGTAACATGAATAACTCCTACAACAGCCACAAAACCTTCTCTCATTTACCCACTGTGCTGAGTTCACCCACAACAGCCACACTGGCCCTCCCAGAGCCTCCTCTTGCCTCGGGGACTTTGTTCTTGCTAGTTCCTCTTTCCAAAATGCTCCTTTCAACAAATCTTGGAAGGGTCAGCTTCCTAACATTCAAATTAGCCCAATTCCCCCCACCCCCTTCTTTGAGGCTCCCAGGACTATCTAGAGCAGAGCTTCTCCACCTGGGCCCTACTGACATTGAAAGTTTGGAGATTCTTTGGGTTGTGGGAGAAGATTCCTATACATTACAGAATGCTTTGCTGGCCTCTACCCACTAGATATCAGTAACACCCCTTCCCACTTGTGACAACCAATAATGTCTCTAGACATTGCCAAATACGCCCTCAGGTTACTCTCCAGCACCTCACCCGTCACCTCTCTGAGACCCCTGATATGCTGCTGTCTTCCGCCGTGGGACGGTGAGGACAGGGCGCTGTGTGCGTCCCTCACTACGACATCCCCAGAGCAGCAGACAGTAAATCAGAGATTGAGTAGAGGACTTCCCACCAGATGAGACTCTCACAGAAACAGAGCAGTACTAACCAAATGCCAATGCACCTGAAATGTCATTTCCATCTCAGGAGCTTCTAAGCTCTGTTCTTTCTGAATGATGGCCAACTTACTCGGGTGCTTTAAAAAAATCAGTTTCATGTGACAATATTGCCTAGTCCCCCTTGCAGATAAAGAACAAATCCCAGGAAACAACGCATAAATCTGGGATGACTCTGGCAGAAGGTGGGAGATGAATTTCTGTAGCATCATCTGTTTAATCATTTTAATAAAAAGTGAAGATCTTTCTGGGGTATATTATACTGTGTCCACAGCATCTCAAGGGGAGAATGTGGTACCATTTAAACAGGGGGACAAATATAATGGCCAACGTGACTGAACGCTTCCTCTATACCAGGAACTGGGCTAAGTGCTGGATGAGAATTATCTCAGGTAAACAGCCTGTGCAGGTGGAAATGCATTATCTCACTTTACAGGTGAAAAAACCTGGGGGACAAAGACATTGAATAATTCTCCAGTGACACAGCTAACCAGTGGCAGGGGGGATTTGAATCTGGGCAATCTGCTCTGAGGACACAAGCTTTTGAACATGATACCTCATGTTCCTCGTCTATGCTTCGTGCCCAAGGCAAGGCAGAGTGATAAGACAGAAAACAAGAGGGGCAGTGGTCAAGAAAGAATAGTGGACAGGGATCCCAGAGCTAGCTCAATCCAACATGGTGGTTATCTCCCCCCAATTCTATTCTGACTGTCCCACCCCATCTACCATGTTAGAAGCTTCATCAGCTGGCTTTGCAGACCTCAGACCTCAGTCCACTGACACCAGCAGGCCCTCTGGATCTGAGCGATGCTTCTGTCCCCTGCATCTAAACTGTCCCTTAGCCCCTCTTCTCTTACCTCCCAATCTCTAACGCCCCACGGAGGGCGAGCCACGTCTCACACAAAGCATAAATATACCCAGGAGTTCCTTTTGGGGGGCAGGGGGGTGGGTGGGAGATGGACCATGGCAAGTGATAACAATAACAACAAGACTTTACCTAAATGAAAACTTTAATTTTGTTTGATGTTCAAATGTATGTTGCTTCCCAGTAAAATAAAAAGTATTTTTTTAATTGTGATAAAAATTTTGAAGAGTTAAGTACCAATACAAAAAAATATAAAAAAACAACAACTTCCAGATCCATTAACTGAAAACTCTTTTACGAACATTAAAAATAAACTGTATCCCTGGCCACTTTGGCTCAGTGGTTAGAGTGTCAGCCCGTGGACCAGAGAGACCCAGGTTCAGTTCCCACTAAGGGCAGGTACTTGGGTTGCAATTCGTCCCCGGCCCCTGTTGGGGTCATGTGGGTGGCAACCAGTCGATGTGTCTCTCTCACCTCGATGTTTCTCTCTTTCTTCCTCCCTCTCTCCCTCCCGCCCTATCTGAAGATAAATGCAAAAATGTCCTCGGATGAAGATTCAATAAATAAATAAATAAACTGTAAGTTTCATAATAAAAAGGAATGCTCATGTCCTGGCCAATTTGGCTCATGGTTAGAGCGTCAGCCCGAGGACCAGAGGGTGATGGGTTGCAGGTTCTATCCCCGGCCCCGGTGGGGGTTGTGCAGGAAGAAACCAATCCATGTGTCTCTCTCACGTTGATGTCTCTCCCTCCACCCCCCATCTAAAAGTCAATGGAAAAATACCCTTGGGTGAGGATTAACAAAAAGAAGAGGAGGAAAAAAAATGAGTGCTCTGTATTAACAGAAATGTTCTGTCTAAACCTTACATTCATCCCTTTTTCCCCTCACTGTCCCTTTCTAGAGACTAGAATATGATATTGTCCTTCAATAGCGAGACAAAAATAAAAAGATGGATTTGCATCATGGCTTTTCAATTCAGAGAAGCAGACTCACAAGTGAAAGGATAAAGAGCCACATGACACAGCTTGTCCTAAAGGACTGAGGACTACCACTGAAGGGAACTGTCCCCTCATTCAGTCATTGCCCAGCCTGCCAACTTCTATCACGAGTTCCGAGCTAAAAGCAGGAAAGTCGCTTTCTATGGGCGTCACCATACATCACTTGGAATTTTCATTACTACTCACAACATTTACTTCTTGAACTCCAAGGGGATTAAATGCAGGCTGATGTTGCAAAAAATTTCAAACCTTAGTCTCCTACAAACCTACCAGGTTTGATATTAAAATAAAGGGGAAGTGGTTACTAACTGGTTCTTCTTTCCACTCAATTTGCTCTGATTCTTTTTATTTTTTTCCCCCAAAACAAATCATGGGACCGGAAAGATGGATAGATATAGCTATAATAAAAAATAATTTTTAGAAGAAGGGAGGAAGGAGTCAAGTAAGGCAGGGACATTCCTTCCCCAACACACCCCACCCCCGTTCCATGATAACAAGAGAACAAGAAACCGATTAGAGTATCTCAAAAGAACCTCTACTGCAGAAACATAATCAAGAAAGGATTATTGACTTAAGTGCCCCACAATGAAAGACAGAAAGTGAGTAATTTCTCAGACTAGATTTGATTATTTTCACTAAGCTTTTCCCTAAAACCTATCTCCTTCAGAAATTGTTTGAAGATAAGGTATCAAGAAAATACAAACTAGGTAAGAAATGAAATAAGCCTCTGAAAATCTACATACTTACTAAAAACTCTCCCCAGAGATGCCACTTCATCAGCAGTTAGCCATGGGGGGTGGGGTGGGGTGGGGGGAGGGGGTCATCTGTTGGTCTGGCAGAGAAATGACAGATGAGACAGGAGAAGGAAACAAGCAGATTCTCTCTTTTGGTGCCCTAAATTACACACATTTTAGTGAAGGGAAATCTTGTACAACTTCTACCTTCTTTTCTCATTCCTACTTGTTTTGTCCCTGATTCAATATTCATGATTAAGGAGTGTCGGAGATGCACAATCAAAACCATCTTATTCACTTGGGTCAATTCAGTTACAACCTAAGAACTACACTTCACACTTTCCTAAAGGCATTAAATAAGCTCCTAAGCAAGTTCAATACCAGCTGCCGGCGAAGATGACTCCTCCTGCATGGTTTCTCCCCATGAAAAGGGGAACATGTTTTAATGATTTACATGTGGGTAACTGATAAACAATAAATAATCTTAGGGGTGTCGAGTGCACAGAAGCACCCTGGGCAGGTCGATACATTACAGGTATTTCATTTAATCACACATTCACCTAATACGTGTGTCAATTCCAACTTGGTTCATCTTCTCAGCCTACATCAACGTCAAGAAGATACATCTGTCCCTGCCCTGTTCTTCAGGTAACTAGGGTCTGGTTGATTAAGCAAAGAAAATGAGTTCTAATTACACATTATTACTCTCAACCGCACCCCCCAGACAAATGCTCTTCACAGAACTTTCTGCAATGAAAATGTTCTCTGTCTGCACTGTCCCAACATGGTAGCCAGTGGCCACTGTAGCTACTGGGCACTTGTAGCTAATGTGACTAAGGAACAGAATTTTATTTCATTTCAATTCATTTTAACTGACAGTCACATGTGGCTGACAGCTACCCTGCTGAGAAGGAGAAAACTGGGCTCAGACTCTGAACTCAGCCCTGGGAAGTCACTGTCCTAAACCACTCCAGCCCACCAAGGTCACAAAAGGTGGCTCCACTCCTTGCTCTCTCCCCATTACCAGCTATCTGCGGTCCATCTGCTCACTGGCTTTGGAATCATAACCAGTAGCTGTTCTCCACTTTAGGTTCCTATCCATCCCATCTGCCCTTTTCTTTCCAAAACTTTCCAATGGCTTTGTTTTTTCCTGCCCCACTCCCCTCACTTCTAATTCTATTCATTTCCTGTCCATCATAACATCAACATCCGCTAAAGTACGTTTACATGAAAACCCTTGTATGACACCAGGGCCAAGGCAAATAGCATTAACTAACCGCCCAAGGGGTGAGTTCTTCAAGGCAAAACATTATCACCGATTTATAGACACAACGGTCTATATGGTGCAATGGATTCGTAGCATAACTTATATATTCATTACAATAACAATATTTTAAAAGGAGATGATCTCAAGACCAAAAGATACTTGAGTCAAACGCTCTGAAACCCTGCCCACCCCGCATAGGCGTCCCTGCGCCGTGCCTCCCTGGCCCTGGCCAGAGGCGGCCACTGGCACTCGGCACTCAGAGCATGTCCAGAATGAGTCTGAGGTCAGAACTTTGTCTACAAAGGAAATGAGAAGGAAATTGTAGGAGATAAAACACAGCTTTAGGTTCTGGCGTTGGTCCAGCTTGGTTCGTTTCAGTCTAATAGTTTAAGGGGCAGGGGAGGGGGAAAGCAAAGAGAGGTCGCTGCTGTGTTTATCATCCAACTTGCTGTCCACAGCGCGCCTCCAGCCCTCCGTCCCTCTCGCACTCCATCTCCCCGCCATCTACTGTCCTCAGAGTCCCCCCGCAAGGTTGACAGAGATGGTTCAAAGGAGCAGAAAAGACTGAAAAGCACTGTTCCCAGAAACCATAATAAAAGTGAACTCCAGCATGTTTCACTGTATAAAAAAAAAAAAAAATGCAGTTCAATAATAAACAGGACCCTCAGACATCTTCCGGGCAGTGCAGAAACTCGCTCGCACACGGCCACCTTCTGTGGGTGGGGAGGGCAGAGGCCACCGCCGGCGGGCCCGGCGCGCAGCGCGCAAGGATCACCGTGCACAGAGCTCGCCTCCCAGGCAGTGCGCACACCCCTTGGCCACAGCCTCTCCCTCGTGGCAGCTCATTTATCAACCACAAATAATTTCCCCATTGCTTTTCTAAACAAGAACAGCGTATCTCAGCGCAGAAGACAAGGCTCTGTCCATTTTAAGCAAAAGAACACGCACAATGCAGTGAGTGTTATGTAATCAACGAAACGCAGACCCGCAAGGGCAAAATAATGGGGAGCACATTCCTTCCCAGCATTCTCCGTGATGTCATTGTATATAGCCCTGGCTCAGGTTCATGGCATTACTAACCCAGCTTGAATGCTGCCCAGTCTGTCCAAATCCTGACAGTTCAGGAAACTGCATCTTTAGCATGGCACCATGACCCACAGACATGGACCCACCCTGTGCCAGCCAGTTTGCAAACACAATGGCCTCACAGGTGCTCTCAGCCCACACCGAAGCCCCCCCACCCCACCCCCCACAGCCGCAGGTGTAATGCGGCCGTCAGAACCTGGCAGAACTGAACTCAGTCACAGTCACGCCAAAGCTCAGTTGTCTGAGAAATGGAACTAAGTCCACATTTTTCCTATGTAGCTACCACTTCATAGATTGATTATTTCAACACAGGCACCAGTTACTTAAATATCACAAATGCCTGTGAAGCATAAAAATGCTTTTTATAGTAACAGAAACAGACAGGGAAATCAGAACCCACTTGTCATTGCCATTTAGAAGACATTTTCATTCAGGACCATCTCCATCTTTTTTTTATATATAAGAGATTTAAAGAGTAAGACTAACACAGAGGTTTTCTGTAACAGGTACAGTTTTCCCCTAAAGGTCAAGATAGTATTTTAGGCTTTGGGGGGCCCCCATGGTCCCTGTTACAAATATTCGACTCTGCCACTGTGGCATAAAAGCAGGCAGGGATGACACATAAATGGACGGGCATGGCTGTATCCCAATAAAACTTTACAAAACTAGACGGTGGCCAGATTTAACTCACAGGCCACAATTTGCCAACTCGTTAATCTGGAACGTGATTTCTTTTCTTCCCTTCTCACACTATCTTCAGCTCACATCATCAGACCATTAAGAAGATGATGCTAGGCTCCATGACAAACAATGGAGATGTAAGAGAACAGAGTTCTGGCGAACATCATCACGGTACAGATCACCGTTTCCTGCACTGACCAGTGCACAGAGAAGGTCGACAGCCTCCAACACAAGTTCCTGGTGTCCGATTCGAGTGACGCCCAGCTCCTCGAGATCCTGGTGGGCGATCCGCAGCAGCTGCTGGCCGTTGATCTTCTCGCGTTCAAACGTGTGCACATACTGCTGCAGGCAGTCGTCCAGCCCTACCGGAAAAGCAGGAGAGGCCATGAATGTCACTGTGTTCCGTTACTCCGGGCAATCGCCAATCATGCTCCCGTTTGATTGTTTACATGTGTGACCCACCTGACAGACACCTTTCAATTGTGTCCTTGTCGTCTCATCTCACACAGATTTTAAATGTGCAGCTTAAAATTTCCAAATGGAACCAGTTATGTTTTAGGACAATTACCTTCCCACTCCCTTTCAACTAAGAGAATAAACACTAACCCCCTTGAAGTGCCAGTCATCTGTAGTAGACACGTGTCTGTGTTTGTTAAGCAGCTCTTCCTTTGGGACACCATCCCTCTCCCAGCCCGTGTGATCCCCACTGGGCCTGCCAATCAAGATGCTTTGCCACAATATTCCATCAACCAGCCGGTATTAGGTTCTGGGATGACCATGTGACTCAAGAGGAACCAATTACAATCTTCCTTGATATTTGATATATGGACACAGAAGACAGAGGTTCTCTCTTCCCTTCCAAATGGAAGTCATAAGGACACAACCTTGGGGGCATTGGCAGTCATTTTTCTGATCAGTTTTCTGGAGATAAATCCATGTGAGAGAGGAACAAACTGCCCCAATATGCTTGTCCCTTGCAAAAGAAAAAATTCTGACGAATGCAGAATCCAATGTATAAAGTACCAGCAGCGGTTCCAGAGAAAGGCGATGTTACGTGGGTTAGCCTATGGAAATTTTCCAGGCCAAACACTACTGCCAACGGGGTTGTGTTCTAATGTTCTTATATACTGATAAAAATTAAAAGAGATAAGCCAAATAGAACTTGGGGGTCTTTACTGCTGGATGGAGAACACACTGGTCAACCTAATAACAAAAGCCATCCAGTGTTTTAAACAACTAGATTTATATAAACTCAAGCCCAACACAAAGGATAAAAGCTCAATGTAACTAGAACAATGTATGTGAAAGGCATGCTGCTGCCCCCTCCCCCACCTCAAACACACGTGTGCGCGCACAAACACACGTGTTTCATTCACCCCTCACAAAAGTTCTGCTTTGTGAGTACTCTCTGGACTGGAAGAAGTAGACAAAGGTCTAGCACTTATTTCTGGCAATACTCAAGTTCATGGATCTTAAAATCTAATGTGCTGGGGTAAACGACATCTCTGCCCCACAAACTCTCCCCATTCCCCTTTATATAGGATACAGGAAGAAGAACAATTTCCTGATAACCATTTGGGGCTATTAAATATAGAAAGAAGAGGTAAGGAACAATTAACTTTATGGTAACCAGATGAGTTGGAACCTATCCATCTTCCCTGAAATGACATCTGTCTAGCAGACGGGCTCCATCGCACAACAAGCGAGGTTGGAAACATCCATATAAACCTTGCTCCACTTGGACCGCCTTGAGCCACAAGTTATTTCCATGACACATGAGTCAAGTAGGCCGTGGAGGCCACACAAGTCAGCAGGTATTTACAGTGATGCCCCACCTGGGCTGCAGGGCTGGGTCTCAGCACCTGTGGCCACCCAGGGCATCTGCAGAGGGGCAGTGTCCATGGACAGCAGTGACAACAGCCAAGAGCCAAACGGAGCCTCCTGACAACTCTATGCCTAGCACATCAGTGGCTAAGTTAGGGCTTATGGATGCTATATAACCTGTCCATAGTCATGGAGCTTGTAAGACGCCAAGAGAAGGATTTTATAGGCAGTTTCTTCAGCTTCATACAGAACAAAAGAGGTTGAGTTCAAATAAAGGTCCGTTTGACAAACGCTCTGCTCTTTTGCATTCTTCCCAGCAAACACAGCCGTATAGAAACTCCTCTCCAAGCACCTTCCTGATTAAGCAGTAAGAATCATGGACTCTCACAGGTCCTTAGAAGGTACTTCAGATCTTACTGAGTCCAAAACATTGGGAAAGTATGAACAAAAGAGTAGGTATTGTGAAGTTTAAAATCACTGAGCCAGTTCCAGCCAGGTCATGACAATACCCCCCACTCTCCTCCCCTTCAGGATGTTCTCTTTCCTTCTCTATCGTTATGGCCAAATGGTGTCTCCTTAACATTCAAAGGTTGAAGTCCTAACCCCCAGTATCTCAGAACATGCCCTTTTGGAGGTAGCATCTTTAAATAGGAAACTAAGTTAAAAAGAAGCCACATGTATGGACCTGAATCTGGTATGACTGATAGCCTTATAAGAAGAGGAAACACACAGAGTGAAGACCATGTGAAGACACAGGGGAAAGAGCCACCTACAAGCCAAGAAAAAAGGCCTCAGAAGAAACCAACCCTGCTGACACTGGGATCTCGGACTGCCGGCCTCCAGAACAGCAAGAAGAAGAAAAAATTCTGTCGTTTTACCCACCCAGTCTGTGGGGCTGTGTTACGGCAGCCCAAGCAAACCAACATGAACCTAATAACATTTTAACTCATAGTCACCCACACGTGATCAACTCTTTCCCGAACAAAATAAACAAGGTCCAATGACCAACTGAATTGAAATTCATGTTCGCTGTGCCAAACAAGTTCATTGCTCAAAATATAAGCATAAAACTGAGAGACTCTTACTAGTTTTCATGTGCAGAATAAATTAGTCCGCTAAAATTAAAGTGAAGAAACCATGTACAATGGAAAGTCATTAAATGTTACCTCTGAATAATAAAAAGTAGAAATAAAGATGAGGCCAGATTTCTCTCTTAACTCACAGTGAAGTTTCACTGAAGAAACAGTACTTCAGAAGTAGCTTTAGAGCCTTAAGGAAACATTTTAGACACAGAGAAGTTGAGATGGAAGGTATGACGAGAATTCCAGGGAGGAGGAAGCGTCCAAATGATCAGAGATTGAGAACTAAAGACTACAGAACATTTCCCCAAAAAGGGGGCCAGAATCCCCGTGAGGGTTCTGAGAGAATATAAATGATCCAACTTCAACTAATCGAAAGATCCCTGCGATGGAGGAGAAACATCTCACTGCGACCTACTCAAAAACAGAGTCCACCGGGAGCCCAAGACTTCCCCCTCTGGGGACACACACAAGAATACGCTCGGTTTTAAATAGCATTACCCCCAATTTCATTATTCTGATACATTACGGCCTATTGTTCACTTATCCTATTGTTTAAGATACAATTAAACATTTATAAATAGCTCAATCAAACTATTATGCAATCCCACAAAGGAGGGAAACAAAAATCCCCAATTTCGAGTAAACTGGTTTGAGCACTGGCAATCAACCATCCACACGCTTCTACCTATTTGCCAGTTCTTCCCTTTCTGTAGGGGGCCTTACAGACGGGACCGAGAGAAACACAAAATTCAATACGATTACGTGAACACATTCCATTCACACAAATCAGGTTAAGCAGATAATTCGATGGGGAAAGAATCGTGAAGGAAAAGCAGGGACAACCCCAGACGGGGACCCAGACTAAGAGAGGGCCCAGCCTTCCTCCACTGTCGCTAAATAATCCTAAACTTCCAAATGCACAAGGAAAATGTCTTGTGATTTTGAAAAGACTGTTTTATGGTGCACACGAGGAAGCGCAGGGCAGTCAGTGCTAAGAGCCGGACCTCCAATCCCAGCCCACTCCTTGCTGACAAGGTTCCTGGGGCAAGTCCCTCCTCCGCCTCGTTTGTAAAACAGGGATGACAATACCACCTAACACACAGATCGGTAACGAGAAGCGAAATGTTAACACTTCTAGAGAGCTTAGAGCACGACGTGAAATTTACAATGTAATGTATTCAGGTCCTCAATTTTCGAAGTGTTCAGAATAAAAGTTGCCAGAGAAATCAGAAATGTCCAGATGTGTAGGTAGCCCCTTCTGGAACAGACTAAATTGGAAATAAAACAAAATCTGAATGGTCCATGGTACTACCTTCCTCAGAAAGTGTTCCCAAATGTAAGAAATTGCCAAAATCACAGATTCCACCTAAAAATGTTGTAGGATTTCTATCAGAACATTAGTACCCTAAACATACAGTCATCCTTTGTTTACTGCTCGTTCTGCAGCAACTAGAACATTGCTGGTGCACAACAGCATTTGTGAAATAAACAAACAAAGGTGGAAAAATAAAGTCAAAGAACTTCACATAAATGTTTTCAAGCTGGCCCTGGCCGGTTTGGCTCAGTGGCTAGTGTCAGCCGCGGACCAGAGAGTCCCGGGTTCGGATCCCACTAGGGGCATGTACCTGGGTTGCAGTTTATCCCTGGCCCCTGTTGGGGTCATGTGGGTGGCAACCACTCGATGTGTCTCTCTCACATCAGTGTTTCTCTCTCTCTTCCTCCTTCTCTCCCTCTCACTCTATATCTCAGGATAAAATGCAAAAATGTCTTTGAGAGAGGATTAAAAAAAAAAATGTCTTGCCCTGGCCGGTTTGGCTCAGCGGTTAGAGCGTCGGCCTGCGGTCCGGAGAGACCCGGGTTCGGTTCCCGCTAAGGGCACGTACTTCGGTTGCAGTTTGTCCCCGGCCCTGGTTGGTCGTGCGGTGGCAGCCACTCGATGTGTCCCTTTCACATCGATGTTTCTCTCTCTCTGTCTCTTCCTCTCTCTCCCTCCCACTCTATCTGTACAAAAAATGGAAAAATGTCCTCGAGTGAGGATAAAAAAAAAAAAAAAAATGTTTTCAAGCTGCATTAAAGCCTTCTGAACACCCAGTTTAAATGTTGCTCCCTGTCTAAACCCTGCTGGCTTCCCACCGCACCTGGGATCAAATCTACATCCAACGAAGTCCACTCTGGTCTGCCTGGCTCCTGCCCGCCTCCCTGACCGCATCTCATGCCAGTCCCCCAGCCACTCTGCTGAACTGCTTACAGCCGACGTTTCAAGACCGCAAACTCCTTTCCACCGCAAGGCTTGTCTGCGTGACGTTCCTTCTACCTAGAATGTTCCTGCCTCCTCATTTCCCCGTCTCAGCTCACGTATCACACCGCAGGGGGGCCTGCGGATCCCAGCATCCATAGAATCCCCGTAACCCGTTCCTCCCTGTTGTCCTGTTGGCTTCCCTCATGGGACTCAGCAG